GTGGGATCTGGTGTCCTTCTGGTTCTGCAGCAACTGAAGTGAAGAATAACCTTTAAAATTCCATTCATAAAGGTCTTCCCTCTTGTGTTGCTAAATGTAATAAAGGAATGTTATGTAAATGGTTTTGTCTACACATGGGCAGCCACAGAGGAGTAGAGAGGAGTGGGAAACCAGTGTGGATGCTGGGAACAATCCTGATTATCTTTTCTTTTGGAGTGCATTTCATTAAACCTGGAGTTGTTCTGGATTGTGGCTTCAGAAGCATCTGTTTATTCACCTGAGATGTGTCCCTGACTGATTCAGCTGTGTGCATTTCTGTCTGCAGCACATGATTTTCTTAAAATAATAACTGCCATTTGCCTTCCACTGAGGGAGTGTGGTGTGGCCTTGAAATTCACTTTTGAAGGACTCACCGGGTAACCAGGGACTTCTTCACAATTAAATCTTTAATAAGGTCAGAATTCCTATCTTCAGGGTGCTGCATAAACACTAATTTTCATAATCCCCCTGTGGATAGTGAGAGCAAGTATTATCCCCATTTTCCTGTTGGTAAAACTGAGAATGAGGCAGAAACCCTTCTCAGAGGCTGCAGAAGAGATGAGGATCAGAGTTCAGAAGTGCCTGGTTCTTGTCCCCTCACTGCCTGTGCTTCCCAGGGAGTGCTGGCTGTGCTGGGAGGGATCCACAGGCAGTGACAAGTGTCACTTTGCACAGCAAACAGGAGTATTTTCAGCTGGCTGACACTGCCCCTGTGTGTGGGCAGCTGAGGAGGAGTTTGCCCAGCCCTGATAACCTGGTTATGCAGTAACTGAGAGTGCTGAACGTTCCAAAGGTCAGGAGCCTCTCGCTGCTCTTTGACTGACCACACATCAACCCAAGGGCAGTGCCTCTGTCAGGGTCTGCTGGGAAGTCCTGGCTGCGTGCTGGGAGTGCTGCTGCTGAAGATCACAGAGGTTGTTACAGGCACTGCTTGTGCCCTGAATTCCCTGCAGATCCCTCAGTGTTCTGCAGCTGCAGTTCACGTCCCCATCTGGAATTGTTTCCACCTCTCAACAGGGAGAGAAGATGAGTCTGCTGTGGAGTAGGATCCTCCTGCCTTTGATAAGGGTTAGGGAAATTCTGAAAGTGCCACACGCTGTCTGCACCCTCATGGGATAAAGTGTCCAAGGCCGGGCAGGAGGGGGCTTGGAGCAAGCTGGGATGGTGGAAGGTGCCCGTGCCCATGGCAGAGTTTGGAATAAGTGATCTTGGAGGTCCTTTCCCAGATCATTCTGCGATTCTATGATTATATTTATGCCTAAGTCTTTTGTTTCCTTTTCCCTCAGCTCGTAGAAGATGACCCCTGGCCACGACTGAACTCTGCCGAGCCCATTCCTCCCCTCCTGCACAGCAACATGCTCTCAGAAAAATACCTGGAGCTGCCAAACGAGATTGCCAAAAGCAGTTTACCTTCCTCAGGAGGAACCCCGAAGGATTCAGCGCCCCAGGAGGAGAAGTGCAGCAAAGCCCTGGCTTTGAGGCTACAGGAATCCTACAGCAATGGTTTATCTGTCAACCTCTCCCCTTCCAACTCGGCCAACTCAGGCACGGACCAAAAAGCCCTCAAGGCGTCCCCTAACGGCGCAAGCAAGGCGCAGGACGCGGAGAGGACGCCCCCGGCCAGCTTTAAGCGGACACTGGAGGAATCCAACTCGGGCCCGGCGGTGAAGAAGCCGCGGCGGGGGCCGGGCCGGGGCCCGGGCGAGGGCGCGGCCGGCCCGCAGCGCCGCAGCCCGGCCAAGCTGGCCATGAGGCGCAGCCTCCGCGGGCAGAAAAAGCTCAGCAGCTCCTTGTTCCACCCGCCCAGGAAAGCCGTGTGCGTCTGCTGAGGAGCTCTGCGGGCGGCTGCGCGGGTTTGGAGCTCTTCCCGGTGATTTTTCTTTTTTGAAGTAGGAACTTTTTTTGGTATCCGACAGCTTTATCCCAGCCTTGTACTTGCTTGTATTATAACTGTGAATTTTGTAGATGTGTAGGGTATAAGTCACTGTAAAATGTGTGTAAATTTGTATTCCTTCATATAAATGTAGTCTCTTTTCTTCCTTGTATAATTGTTACTGCGGGGCTAAGCCTTGTTTTAAAAAAAAACAAAAACAAAACAAAAAGTAAAATAATCCTTTTTGTTAATTTACTAAAGTCATCAATTTGTATACGCTTCTTGTGAGGAGAATTTCACAACTTTTTAACTAAAGTAAATTATTAAACAGAATGGAAGATATGTATTTTCGTAGTCTGATACGTTCCACCTGAAGTGTGTCTTTTAGAGAATACACTAGGTCTATATTTTGGTTTTAAATTTTAGATTTCTCTACTCAGAAATGAAATGTATGTGGAAGCAGAGATTCGAGTCTTGCTTTACACACCTCAGTGTCGATTTTATGTTAATTAAAATACTATGCAGTATCTTATTTAGTTGTATTTTTTGTAACAATAATCGTCAGAAGTATTTAGCAAAAAAAAGTGTGTTTTTAAAACTCCAACTCCCCAGAGCATCCAACAAAGCCATTCCCATCCCCTGTTCCAAATGATGGCATTTTATCCAGGCATCACTGCCCCCCTGAGATGTGTTTTCTGCTATTCCAATACTGATGGTGCTGCTAATAACCTTTCAACACAAGTTCTTAAATTATTTTATGACTATTTTCATTGGCTATGTGGACCATGTGTATGTTCACCTCAATAAAACACATGAAAATTTGATGGGGATGCTTTTTATTTTTTTAATTTTTATTTTAAGCTTAAGTTCTGGTGTTTATTCAGCAGTGAAATGTGAATACTAAAAATCTTCATATTTATCTGGTATTCATTAAATATCTGAATGCTCTCCCCTTTCTCACTGTGGCTTAGGAAACAGGAGATCCCAGTTAGATTTATGACAGAATTGATCTTGGCACTTTATCCTGAATGTTTAACTGTAGCAATATATTAAATTTTAAAAATTTTATTTTGATGGGAAAGCAAGAGGGCAGTTCTTTATTCCAGGATGGTTATTTGTAGAAGCCAGTTCTTTACTGCTGGAACAATAAAAGCCAGGTTGGAACCAGGCCTGCCATCTATAAGTGTTACCATGGTTACAGAAATCCCAGGGGATTTTATTCCTGAAAATATTCCCTTTCATCCATGCTGGGAACACAGCGCTGCCTTAGGAGATGAAAGAAACAGCCTGTCCAAATTGCATCCTGCAAGGATTTATTTCTGTGGATGTGGGGAGTAACTTCAGTCCATAAAGTTGTGCTGTGATGTTGAAATTCTGCCCCAGATGGGGAGGAAAGGCTGCAGAGGCCACAAGTGCATGTGGCAACTGCCTGGCAACAACAATAATTACCTGTTTTCAATTAGCTTGCGTTGAACCTTCCAAGGAGTGACTGTAACACCTCGCTTAGATGACTCTATTACTGCTTGCAAGGGAAATATGCAAAAGAAAAAAGATTTATAGTGAATTTCCCAGGGTTTTTGCTCTACACAAAAGCAAAATTTAGGTTTCCGTAGAATTCTGCAGCACTCAGAAATGTGAGCCTCATTCAGGTTTTCTCAAGCAGTTGTAAACTTGGGCTTCTCCACCTTTTGGCTTTTCTTTTTTACTCTTAATAAATTAATCCAACCCTACAATTTTTCCTGGGGAAGCTGCTGGACGATGGTCAGGATTAACTGCACTGGCAGCAGTTTACTCCTGCCTATACTTTGCCCACCTCTTTTCTCATTTGACTTCTCTGAAATGAATATTCAAAGCTGAGACAGGGGAATTCACACCCGGTAAGTTCACAGAGGCTCCTTTGGTAAGATCAAACCCGAGTTCCAACTTCTTGCGAAATAAAGCTGTGATCTGTGCAAACCTGCTCCTAGGCACTTTGTGAATGTTTTCAGTCACCGTTTCATTCTTCTGGTATGTGGATGATGGTGTTGTCACAGGAGTCAGGTGCATTCCCAGAGCAGGTCACCCCCTCCTGACCTGGTGCCACTGTCTGGAAACCTGAACCAGTGCCCCTTGTGTCACCCTGAGGCATCTGGGCACTGCTGGACACCTGTAAACATAAATCACACACTGGGCTGGGCTGGAGGAGAGCTTAAACATCACCCATGAGCAGGGACACCTCCCACTGTCCCAGGCTGCTCCAAGCCCGGCCAGCCTGGCCTTGGACACTTCAGGGATGGGGCAGCCACAGCTGCTCTGGGCACCCTGTGCCAGGGCCTGCCCACCCTCACAGGGAATAATTTCTTTCTACAATAAAAATCTACCCTCTGGAAGTAGCCATACCCTGTGTCCTATCACTTCAGGCCCAAAGTCTCTCTCCATGGCTCTTGGAGCCCCTTTGGGGCTTTTGAGGCCGCTCCTCAGCCGTGTCTCCAGCGCTGCCACAGCACCCGAGCTCTGAGGAGCAGCAGCTCCAGAACCTGCGCTGTCCCTGAGCTCTGCAGCCTGGAGACGCTCCAGCTGGGGGATGCCTCGGCCCCGTGGCCTTTCCCCCTTGCCGGGACTGCCTGCCTGCGGCGTTCTGCCCCTCAGGCTCCCTCACAATCCCTCACAACCCCTCACAAGCCCTCACGATCCCTCACGGTCCCTCAATGCCCCTCAGTCTCCCTCACAAGCCCTCACGATCCCTCACGGTCCCTCAATGCCCCTCAATCTCCCTCACAAGCCCTCACGATCCCTCACGGTCCCTCAATGCTCAATGCCCCTCAGTCTCCCTCACAACCTCTCACACCCCCTCACGCCCCCTCACGATCCCTCAATGCCCCTCAGGCTCCCTCACGATCCCTCACGGCCCCGCCCATCAGACCCCGCCCCAAGTGACGTCACCGCGGGGGCCGCGCCCCTCCCCGCCAATCCGGCCCCGCCTCTCCCTCCCGCCCCTCCCCGCCCCACGTGCTCGGGGCCGGCCCCGGCGCGCGGCGGCTCTCGCGAGATCCCCGATGTAAACAAAGCCGCGGGGCGCGCGGCGGGGGGGGCAGCGCCAAGGCGGCGGGCAGGGCCGTGAGGCCTGGGGGACCCCCGGCAGCTGCGGCCGAAGCGCGCGGGGTGCGGAGCGAGGGGCGGCCGGCGGGGTGGGCGCGCTCCGGGAAGGCCGCGGCCCCGCTCACCGGGCGGCGGCGGGAGAGAGGCCGGGCAGGTCGCGGTGTTCGGTGTGGAGTTGCTCAATAGCGGCGGCGGAGGGTGCCCAGGCCGCTGCCGGGGCTCCGGAGGGTCGGGCGGCCCCGCAGTGCCCCGAGCTGAGGCGGGGCCGTGCCGAGGCCCAGAGCCGCCGCTGGAACCGGCCCCGGTGCTCGCTTCACCCTCGGGCCGGGGTGGCACAAGGTGCTGGCACTGAGGGCACGGCAGGGGCGGGTGTCCGTGGGGCGATTTCATCCTTTCCGTGACATTTCGCCTTTCAAGGTTCCTCAAGGCGTGTGTCAGGCTGCTGTTGTGTTGCTGAATGTTTTGTTATTAATTGTTATTTTGCTGTCAGTTCCTGAGTGGTTGTCCTGCCTCCCTTAATGGGCTGGCCCTTGTAGAGTCTGGCCTGACGTGGAAGGATGCTGATAACTGATACCACCGTGGGGATTTGGCTTTTTCTTTTACTTTGTGAGCAGGTTTGGGGTGGGGGGACACCACAGAGCAGCTGAGGGGGTTCCCTGAAGAGCTGGCTGGGATCTGGGCTGCTCCTCAAGTGCTTTCTGCCTTTAGGAATGTCACACAGACTTTTCTCCTGGAAAAGCAGTGTGAAGGCGAGCTTGAGGATGGCACAAAAAGCTGACATAAAGAAAGAGAATGTGTGAGCTGCAATGGAGCCCATGTTTTCAAGAGTACAAGCTGCAATTGTGACTGCACGTTATTTTTATATAATTGTTCTCTGAGACAGCAGCCCATTAGGAAATAGTGGGTTTGTGTAATGGTGATGACAGCTGTGTACCTGTACCACTATCTTTACTCCCCTGGAGAACAGCAGTGTGAAGGCAAGCTTGAGGATGGCACAAAAAGCAAAGAGAATGTGTGAGCTGCAATGGAGCCCATGTTTTCAAGAGTACAAGCTGCAATTGTGACTGCACGTTATTTTTATATAATTGTTCTCTGAGACAGCAGCCCATTAGGAAATAGTGGGTTTGTGTAATGGTGATGACAGCTGTGTACCTGTACCACTATCTTTACTCGTGGAATCATAGAGTGGTTTGGGTTGGAGGGCTCCTTAAAGATCATCTAGTGCAGTTTGAGATAATTTTCCCCTTTATCATGCAGCTCTGTGGGGTTTGTTGTTTTATTTTCACAAACATTCCAGGAGCTGCAGTGATTGAAGGAGTCGCCCGCTTGGTGCGTGATCTTTTCTCCTCACTAAAAAAAGTGCTGTAAAGAGGCCCTGCAGGCCTGTGTAAGTGAAATTCCTCTCTTCCCACCTTGAAGAACACGTGGAGAGCTTGTGCAGTGAGCAGTCCTGTGGAGATGTCAGTAAAGGTGCTGTGTTTGTTGCAGGTGTGAGCCCGGAACGATGGCCGCAGAGTCGCCGCGCCGCCCCAGCCGCTGCACGGGAGGAGTGGTGGTTCGCCCTCAAGCTGCCACGTAAGAACCTTCTAGAAGAACAGCCCTTACTGAAAAGGGTTTGCTTTTCTTGTGGAAGAAGCCCAGCCTGAGCTGGTTTGGGTTTTTCCCCCCCAAAGCCAGCTTGTGTTGGCGCTGCACTTTGCTGCGTTGAGCGTTGTGCGGTGAAGTCGGCGCGTGGCGTTTCTGTCTCCCTGAGTGGGATCCCATCCTTTGCCACTGCACACCAAAGCTGTGTATTTAAAAGCTAATTGCTGCAAAGTTTTGTTGTTGTTTGCACCATTTTGCTGTACAAACGTTGCAAGTGTAGAAGAGTGATGCCAAGTTCTTACTTAGGCCAGAGTGCTGTGCCACGTGTGATCCTTTCTTTTAAACAACACCTTGTCCCAGAGTGGATATATTAAAACATATAAAACTTGTCATTAAAGTCCTCCAGGAAGAAGAATTGTGCATTTTTTTTTTCATATTAAAAGAACAAAACCAAGGAAAAAGGAAGAAGCTCCATCCTTCTGGTCAGAGCACCTGACAAACACTTTTTGTGCCTGGGCATCCTGATTTTCACTGTGTGCACATGGGAATGCTTTCATGGCAAAAGAGCCTTTTGGCTGTAAGGCAGCCTAGAAGATTTATGGTCTTTGTCTGTTAAAGGAGTTTTGTAGCAATTTTTCTTCCTTGGGATGTTTATGCTGCTGCAAAATGGCACTGTGTGGAAATGTCCACTTCAGGGGGTGTTACTGTGCCCTTGGAGATAACTCTGTGTTTCCAGATAAAAGATTCACTTCATTTTTATTGAAGATCACAAGAAACTGATTGTTGTAGCACGAAAAGTTGTGTTAGAACTTTGTCCTGCAGCCATTTTTTTCTTAACGTTGCAAAATTCCTCAACAAATGCCTTTCCTCTCTGTAACAACATTTTCTTCAAAATGTGCTTTAAAAGTACTACAGTAAAAAAACACTGTAAGGAGTTGATTGTCTGTCCTGAAGATGATTATCTGTTCTTTTTTTAAACATGGTGTTTTGTTCTTGAGGTACCTGTTTGTGCCTCAAAAATGTCACTCTTTTTGGTGAATCTGTGGGTGCTGAGCACTCAGCAGCATTCTGCTGCTCATGTCAAGTTTCTATATTATTATTAAAGGAAGATTGGGCTTTTTTTTTTGTGGATTATGTTGTTTTTAACCACTTTAAATACATCTCCCTGGAAATTTTTCAACTTTGGGGGAGATTTAGTGCACACACTCTGAATAAAACACTTCCCAAACATCAGCTTGGGTTCAAGATGTGCTTGGGGAGAGGGGGAAAAAATTGCATTGCATGAGCTGAACCATGAGGGCAGCATGACTCTGGCTGGTTGGCATTCCCAGGACAGCTTCAGACACTGTATTTACTGCTCTGGCTGTGGCCAGGCATTTTAATAAAGGTGTGCAGGGGCAGCTTGGGTGACCTACATAAATCAGAGAAGAATCAGCACAGAAGAAACCACAGCTCAGTTTGTAAGGCCTCAGCCTAGAGCTGAGTGGGACAATCTGGGATGCAGAAATCCTGGCATGGTTTGGTCATGGGCTGGAGTAGGCTTTCTGGAATGTAAAACTTCATATTTCAGATTTATCTCTGTTTTCAAAGAGGTGTTGCAGCATTTGGGTTCAAGTATCTTCTGTATGCTTGTGTGTAGACCTAAATTCTCCAGAGTGCTGCGTTTTTCAGTGCTAAACACTTCTGGTTTTATTAAAACAATCTTGCACAGCTTCAGAAAACAGCACTTTTGGCCATCCAGAGTTCCTAATTTACAGTTCTCCTTTGTTGCTATGAGAAATCTTGAGTTGGCACAGGAAAAATTACAACAGCACAAAAGTTAATTTCGGAGCCGCCGAAGCTGTTGCCTAAAGAAAACCTGAAGGCTTTTCTTAAATCATCTCAGACTTTTCTGAGGGTAGCTCTTGTTGCCAGCGTGTCTCAAGTGTTCCTCATGGCTCAAAGCACCAAATTTCTGCAGGGTTTCAGCAGCCTCTGTGCTGCTCTCAGCCCACGCTGTGGTTACTCAGCCCTTGCACAGGGACAGGCTGCTCAGAGCACTGCCTTAACTCTGCCTCAGAAAATGCATCTTGCACTGTAAACCCTCCCCAGTGGATGCTGCTGGTGAACTTCCAGCAGGGAATGAGCTTCCCAAGCTGTACAAAGTCACCTGGGAATGCCTCTCCTTGCTGTTAGGGAGGGTTTTGTTCCATCCCCTGCCCCTGAGCGCTGCCAGCTTTGTCCATCGTGCACAGGAGCTCTGGGAGTTTGTTTGTGCCACCAGGAGAGCTCCAGTCATTGTTGAAATCCTCATTTTCATCTTTCATTCAAGTAGAAAAATCCCTGAGGAATGATTTCCAAATCCCTGTATCACTTCAGGCCCCTCTGATGCGGAGAACATGGCTTATTCCTTGAGTTTAGATTTTATACTTCCCCCCCAAGCAGTTATTCCATCAGCAGCTATCACTTGGCTTTTTTACAGACTTTTATTACTCTTAGTCCTTTCATAACTTACAGGCCACAATGAATATTATCAGAATTTGGCAGCAAAAATAAGTGCCTGCATTAGTATTCTGCTATGTGCTAAAGGTTGCCCCATGCTTCCTTTTGCTGACCTAATTTAATAATTCATGACCATTTCTGAAGTCCTTTGGCTGAAATTCTCCTTCTGTTTTCCAGGGAACAGTCCTACATGGAAAGTGTTGTTACCTTCCTCCAAGATGTTGTGCCACAGGTAGGGTGTGGATCTTTAAAACCACTTTTTTTTTTCAGTGCACAAAAAAGCAGAGTCAGGGATCCTCACTCTGCTTTGTAAATTTATTTATTTAATCTGATAAATGAATAAATGAATGAATGAATAAATAAATAATTTTAATATGTTTATTTATATATTTTAGTATGTTTATATATAATTAATATGGCACTGGAATGGTGCCTTCCTGGTTGCCCATGGGCCTCCCAGTAGCAGAAGGGAATTAATTTTGTTTTACTCTTTGGGAAAGCTGTAGAGGAGCACTGCAGCTGAATTTAGCTTCAGGAAATGATCCTGATTCTGATTCCAAGGAATGATTTAGTGTCTTGTTTCCTCATGAATTTCCTCTTAGGAATTCCCAGTGCATTTATTCTGTAATAATACAAAAACAATGCCCTCAGTAATAGCAATTTGTGAAATGAATTTTGGACTCAGGGTTAAAATTAGACATAATGAAAGTTTCAATTAAGAGATTGCAGCATTCCACAGCTTCCCATTCCCCCTCTCTGGTTAAAGGACACAGTCTGTGTTTTATTTTCCACATCAGCTTGCCTTGGAAGCGTGGAATGTGATTTGTTTTGGAAAGTAAACCCCACACTTATTTTTTAAATTTGTATTTTTAGTCCGTGTTGTTGCTTTTCTGGCATGTATAAAGTGATTATACAAGATGTGTTCATATTTAATCCCAAATAGTGCTCAGTATTTTGTTGTAATTCATTTGGAAGTGATGGTATTTCTGCTGGTTCCTGCTACCACAGCTTCTCCTGAGGACTGTAAAACCTCCAGGCTGGAAACACTGCAAGTCTCACTCCACAATTCCTTTTTGTATCTCATCTTTTTATGGGAATCTGTAGAACACAGGGCTGAAACATGGATCTGTTCTCCTGGAATTGCAGTTTATTCTCTTTTAAATGGCTGCATTAAAGTTGTCACAAACAGAACTGAAAGGTGTCAGTAATATAAACTGTGTAGTAAAGGTCTCTTTCTTCCCTCAGTCTGCCTTGCAAAGCTTTTAAGTGAATTAAAGAGAATTTTAATGATAAAACACCTCATGTGAGAACTTCCAACACTGCTGAAGTTAAAGACTGTAGAAGCCACTGTGTTTAATTTTATTAACTCAGCTCTAAGTCACCTGGCATTTCTTGCCTGCCCCAAGATTTATTATAAATATTTTGTCATTCCTGCATCAGTGAGTGATGTTCAGCATGGTTGTGTTGTGTGAATACTGGTGACAGTAAGCTGCATGGATCATGATTGTGGTTTTTAATATAATTCCTTCTTACAGGGGGAGGAAAACCACTGTTAATCTTCCCTGTTTCAACCCTTTTGCTTTTTGTCCAGGCCTACAGTGGAACCCCACCAGAAGAGAAAGAGAAAATTGTCTGGGTCAGATTTGAAAATGCAGATTTAAATGGTATGGCTTCATTTTCTCCCACTTGTTCTTGTGAGTTTTGGGTCCATGTGCAATAATTCCAGTCAGATATTCCAGTATAGAATAATGATAAACATTATGATTTTCTTGAGTAAAAGCCCTCTTAAATGACATTTTTAACCATGAGAGAATGAGCAAAGCTCACTGAAAGCATGGAAGTATCAGAGACAGAGAAGATTTATTTGGGGTGGTGAAAGAGGCTTTTTCCAGGCCCAGTCAGAACAGGCTGCATAAAATAAATGTAAACACCACATGAAGGGTTCTGAAGAATATTCCAAAGAGTTTTGTTATATGAACCTAAAAAGGAAATGCCTGAGAGTTTATAAAAAAATAAAGGGAAAACAAACCACAAGCAAACAAACCTTAACTGGCCAAAGATAGCCATAAAGCCACGTGGAGATTATAGATAATTTCTAGTTTTAATAACCCTGATTTAGGTTCACTCTCACTCCATCTCTAACCTTCCTTTAAAAAAAAAAGGGAACAGGGATAAACAGGTGGAAGAGCTCAGTCTGAAAGAGGAATCAGTCACCATTTTCTTTTAGACCATGCTGTTATCCAGTAAATTTTTCTCCAATATTTTAAATTTTGAAGCTTTCTCTTTGTGAAACTTTAAGAATATATTTCAGTGTTGCTCCAGCATGAAAACGTAAAGCACTGTGGTTGCTTTTAGTTCTGACAACTGAGGGAACACCATCAAATGTTGCTGAGAGCTTGATCCTTTCTCCTAATAATGGCTTTGCTGTTGAAATGTCCTTCAGATACATCCAGGAATATGGAATTCCATGAAATCCACAGCACTGGGAATGAGCCCCCGTTGCTGCTGATGATTGGCTACAGCGATGGGATGCAAGTGTGGAGCATACCTGTGAGTTCAGAGCTCACCCCTCCTTCCTTCTCCTTTTCCTTGTCAATTTTGTGTTCCAACTTGAGTATTTCACCTTGAATTTCTCCCACTGGGGGAAAAGAGCCAACACTTCCCATCAGTGTCTCGTGGATTGTGTGTGGTGTGTTTATCTTCAGATAATCCTGAGCACAGCTCAAACACTTCAGTTCATGTACCTGCAGATTTTTGAGGGCTTTTTACACATTATTCCTGCTAAGTCCATTTCCACCCTCAAACTGGGAGCGGTGTTTGCCATTCTGGAATAGTTTCTAGCCCCAAAACAAAACTGGATTTTGTTTTTTTAACAGAAAAGAATAACAGAAAACAGAATAAAACCAGAATAAAACAGAATAAAAACAGAGAAGAATAAATAATAAAAAAAAAAAACAACAGGATTTGTTTGTCCCAGGAACTCCAGTATGACAGTATCAATAGTATTTTACAGTCACGTTTGTCATGGACATGATTTGCAATTTTAATTTTATGAAGGCCTCTGTTGCATATGGATTTGATTTCATGCTGTCATCCCCATCCCCTGGTTTGTGTTGCAGAGTGGTTTATGGGGCACGTGGTCTTCATTTGGGGAATTTCCCCCAAATTGCTCAAAATGAGAGAATAAAGTTGAGTACAGTAGGCCATAAAATTCTGAACTTAAAAAAGCAAAATTGCTCACAACACTCTATCCTTCAGAATAAGGCAGAGAGGATGGAGTTCTTTCCCTTTGGAAAATACATTGTTTTTTAAAGAAATGTGTACATTTTACAACTTTCTGTGTAGAACATGTGTTTGTATATTGGGTTGCTTAGAAAACAAAGTTAATTACTACAGCAGAAATTCAGTTTAATTGAGTTTTATGGGCGTGGTAGGGCTTTCCCCCTCTTTATTGCATCTCATTATCCTCTTGATTGCATCTCATTAGCACGAATGAGGAAATAAGCTGGTGAGGTTTTGTCCTTGAAGGAATGTTTAAAAGAAATGGAACGAGACCTAATATACTTCGCTAAATTTCAGTATTTTGGAACTGTTTATTATAATTTAGGAACTTGAACTGAAACTTGGGAAGATTTCAGCCAAAAATGGGATTTTCTCTCGCGCTGCGTTACACCAAGTGTCCACACGGGGGCGCTGGGACACCGAGCTAAGAGCGGCAGCACCGCCTCATCAATCATCAATTAATTAATTAATTAATTACTATACCCTGAGCATCACATCGGCTTGTGCTCAATTATCCTCACAAAACATCCCGTTTTACCCAGCTGAAATGTTTTTATCCGAAAGAACCTGTGTTTTCTGCTAAAAAAAGGGATATGTGTTGCTATGGATGGATGTTTTAATTTTCTTTCTATCTTTTTATTTTCTTTTTTTTTCCTTCCTTGTGTCCAAATGAGCCACAAGTTAGGCCATGGAATACCTGATTTTGTCTTCTTTCTAGCAGAACCATACAGCCAGGCTATGTTTTTTTTCCCCCCCCAATGTATTTAACTTCTTCATCTTTCCTAGCTTTTGATAGTATTTGCTATTTCAGGAAAAAATAACAAAAATTAATTTGCAGGACAGCATCTCTCAGTGTTGTTCAGTTTTTGCAGAAGTATGAGCAGGGGGGAAGTGCAGTGAAATGGAGAAAATGCCAAATGTGGAAATATTTTACCATCCACCTTCAGAATGTCAGCTGTGGGGACATTGCATCATTTTGCCAACCCTTTATTATTTTATATTCTGTGAAATTCTGAGAGCACAGCCAGGGAGGTGCAGCTTGGACCTGGACACTTTGTGTTAGAGCAGTGTTGGAATGGCTCCTCTGGTAGATTTTCACAGAATAATGATCTTTAACATCAGCTTTAAGTATCTTTGCTGAGCAGGATTTGTATATCCAACAAATTTAGAGGGAACATGAACTGGAGGAGGTTTTCACAAACTGGAGGGGGTTTTTCATAAACTGGAAGGGGTTTTCCACATTGTTGCTTCTCCTTTGTGTTTCCCCCCCTTGCTCAGCCTGAGCACAATAAAACCTGGCAGCTATGTGATTGACTTAATATTTAAGAGCTTATTTGGCAACACTTTTTTGTGCCCTTCTATTACACAAACCTTCCTTCTTGGCCCAACTATTTAGCTTGTAATTAAGCAATGTTATTCCAGCTAAGGGAAAAAAAAAAAAACCCAACAAAACCCCAACCCTGCATTCTCCAGCTTAATCTGCAAAAGCAACAATCTGACATTTATGTGCAAATCTCCTCAGGAAAGTCATTATCTGTAGCATTGTGCTTTTTTATTCCTACAATTGGCCCTCTATTCAGCACTTAATAACGTGTTGCAGGCAGCAGGGGTTGTGTGTGAGTGATTATGAAGTGTTTATGACAGCTCCTAAGCCCACACTCCTGCTAATGGTGCTACATGGCCTTGCCCACACCTCTCTGCAGTGTCTCTGCGAGCTGAGAGTGCTTTCACATTAACATCTCCTCCCGGGAAGATCTTTGGAGTACAAAAAGTGTGATTTGCAGGATGGGAGATGCCATTAGGGCGCCTTCAAAGGGCTCGGGGTGGTGTTTGGGGGAGCCTGGCTTTGGAAGTGCAGCACAAGGTGTCCATCCCAAGGGTTGGGCTTTGATCTCTGCTCTCACATGGGGGTGGGAAGGTTAAAAGTGGGCTTAAAATACTCCTGCCTAAGTGGGGAGGAATCTGGGGATACACTAGGAGTTCCTGTTTGATAATGGAGTTGTGTGTTTTGTTTGGAATTTGGTTTTTTGCCTTGCTCCCAGTTTCATGTTTCAGAGACAACTGGAACTGCTTTTTGCCTGATGTGGTTTCCAAGGATCTGTTCTAGATGTTCCTGTTCAGGGAATGCACGTTGGCTGCTTTTTTTTGTTTGTTTTGTTTTTCATTGTAGGCTGGGAGTTTCAGAAGTAGCAAAATCATCTTGGTGTAATGGTTCTTGTGACAATTAACAAAGAAACTTATCACATCCCAAGCTGCAACCCTTCCTCTGTCCAGGTCTCTTTCCAGAGGGAACCACTTGCATGTGCCACTCAGAAAAATGGAGTAAAGATCTGACCTAGTGACCCTGAAAAATGTCTGAGGACACCTATGCAAATCATTTGGGTTTTTTACACTGAAGAGGCACCAGTGTGCAAGACATGTGGTTTTATAAAACTTCTGATTCCATTAGCACTGCCATAATTTAAAGAACTAGGTGCAACTTCATCCTCAGTCCAGCCACTAGAATAACACTCCTTGAGCATCTAAACTGTTACAATCTCTAGATAATTACAGAGATCTGGTTTGAATGGAAGAGCTGAGTGAATTTCTAAACTAAAGTGGTAAAATTTGTTCCTTTTCTTCCAGTCCTTCCTTACTTTCTCAGCAGCAGCATGACTGGAAGTTGCCTTTAACCCACATGCAGCAATATTTGGTGGTGGTATCTATTAATTGCTTATTATCATATTATAATGTCATATCATGATATCTTCATGTATAAAACATGCATCAGAATATTTAAAAACAACCTCCAGATCATTCCCTTTTCCTGTTACACATTCCCCAGTTTCCATTTCTAGATTTGCACAGTTGTTCAAGCATTGAGTTCCCAACTCCATTTCGTTTCACTTTGGTGTATGTTTGCCCTTTTTTTTTTTTACATTTTTTTTCACCATGTGAAAACCATTTTCTCTGGTTGGAAAATATTACTTGTCCTTGGTGTGAACAAAATTTCCTTTGTTCAGCTTTTTTTTTATGGGTGCAAACTGGTGTGCTCCAAACAATGCAGCTGTGCCATCAGAAATTACCCAGTGCTGCAGACTCCTGGCCTGTCATGTTTTAAGCAGTAGCTCAAGATCTCTTAAGTGAGGGAGAAGATTCTTCTCCCTCCTTTAATGAAGACTTTTTTGGGGGGTTGGAATCCTTTGCTTCCAGCCTTCCCTGTAGGTCTGGGAGTTGTGGTTGATGCCAGGATTTGGGAAAGCTGAGATGTTCTACCAGAGCAGCTTGGAGCCGTCATTTTGGATTCCCTCTTCCCTGCAACGAGTACCTGAAGCTGCTTTTACAGCTTAATATCCAATTCTTGAAACCTGTTTGGAAATATTCTTGGCTTTTGGAATGGGAAAGAAAAACTTTTAAGAGCTCTGAGAGCTGCCACGGGGACTTGCTACTTAGCTGGATCCAATCCAGCATGGCAGCCACAGCCTCGTTTCTCACAGGTGCTTTTTGAAGAATTTAGAGCTCTGTTTTCAATTCATGAGCTCTATTTATGTTTTGTCTGTGCATGAGAGACTGTGGGGCTCCAGGGACTGGTAATGGGATGTGGAGCCTTTGGCTGGGAGGTGGCAGCCCACGGGTGACCCCCTGTCCCCTCAGCGTGCAGTTCCTGGTCCCTCTTGGGTTCCTGGTGGGGAGAGTGTCCCATTCTCAGGGGCTGAGCACTGAGGTAAGGGCTGGAGTGGCAGAAGGTCAGGCCACACAATCTCTGTCCCCCCAAGGAGGTGCTTGCAGGCAGATTGGATCTGTGGACCTCAGCAATGAAGTTTTATCCATAGATAAATGAAGGGCATTAGCATTAACCACACTTAGTTCTGGGGTTTGTAAGATTTTTGTAAGACTGCAAACAGCAGAAGCTTCTGGTGGTGGTGTTTGAAAGAAGTTAATTGGAATTCAAAGAAAATCTTCAACTCGAAGCCCTAATGCATTTTTCAGTGCCAAGCAAACCAAGGAACAACCAAGCTCTTACTAATTCATGGCAGACGCAGCATGCAGTGTCTTCCATGAGTCCCTGTCTCAGCAGAACAGTTAAGGACACACAGCTTAAATCCCCTGAAAAAGCTGTTACTTTGTGAAACTAGTGTTTTAATGGGATCAGTGTTGTAGTGTCACATCCAGATTTTTTGGAAACTTTATTTTGTGCCTGTTAGAGAATTTGAATTTTCTTTACAAGCGAGATGCTGGTGGTTGGGTGGCACCCTCCACTGGGGGTGTATCTTAAAATGTGATCCTTTTTTAGCTCCCAAGAGTCAGCAAATGCTGAGCACTTGAGCTGCAGAGGCTGAACCCAAACCATTCCATGATTTAGAATGCTGCAGGGACTGAGCAGAGGACCTGTTAACCTACAGTGCTCTCAAAACAGGGGCTAAATACCTGTAATCTCCTCTTAGTCACTGTAGGATCCTGTGCCTTTTGTTACTCCATTTAACCTTACTTTCTGTAATTTCCCCCCAGTATAAAATAATAAATTATCTTTAAATAATGAATATTAATTATTCAAAAGTTACTCCATTACATGCATGAGAAGAGCTGGGCTGGGATTTCCATGTTTAATGCTTCAGTACAAATAAACTTCTTTTGTATTTGGACATTTCTAGCTTTTCTTTGCAAGTCTCAAGTTTAAGCTCTGCCAGGTCTTGGCACCCCAGGCTGGATAAACATTCTCCTGGAGTTCAGGATATTTAAGAGCAGAACCTGAGTTAAGAAGGTTTGGCCCTCTCAGTGTGTCTTCCTTTGGGGACTGGAACTTTTTGAAGTAGATTGGAGCTGGGGCTGGTGTGCTGGCAGGGATAAAAAGCAGAGGGAGGTGTGTGAGCTGCTTGGGATATTTTATGGGAATCACTCCTTCCCTACCTTTGTTGTGCTGGTTCCTTTCCCTCCTGTTTTCATTCCTAGCCAGAGATGTGCATACACGTGTGAAACAGCATTTTCATGGTTTGGGGGAAAAATCTTTAATTGCCAATAATAATAGTTCCCAAACCTTCTATTTTTCTTCTTTTCCATTTCCTCCTTTCCCTTTGCATAGAGCTGCTGTGTTCCAGTGGACAGAAAACGTGCTGCTGTCTTAATTTTTTACATCTCTTTATTACTCTGTCCCTCTCTAATTTTCCTCATTTTCTGCTTAGCTGTGCTCTACGTTTTTCTGGGCTGTTTTTTCTGGATACAGATGTTTTCATCCAGAGGCTTTTTTTTTTTTTTTTCCTCCCCACTGCACTCCAAGCTCATGGCCAGTTAAAAGCCATCAGCAAACCTTTAGTGAGTTGGTGTCATTAACAGAGATTTTAATTGATAAACTGCTGGTTTAAAATGGGTTAAAGTGTTATTTCCCCACATTTGTGTAGCTTGTGTGTAATTCCAGGCTTAACAGGGAGAAGCAGCAATTCTCTGTATTGTGTGCAGAGTGGTGGCTTAGCTCTGTAGTAAATGGTATTTTCAAAGTGATTTTATTTATAATTGTGCTTCACGGGGTGGGTTTCATTCTCCCCCATGACCTAGAGCAGTGATAATAAATAACCAGGCAAGAGTGGATGTAAGCTGAGAGCCTGGAGTGCTGTACTTGGGATTTGCTGGTCAAACAGTAGGAGTATTTTAACTTTTTGGACGTGTGAGCTGAAGTGCAGAAAGAAATGGAAACAACCATTAAATGACATTTCCAAAAGTTCACTTGAATTTATAGTTTATTGATTCCTAAGAACCTTATTCCAAATCATGTTCTCTTCTGATATTGTAAGCTGCTTGTTTGGCAAAACTTTATGCCAGCCTTGGCTGTGTTCTGAGGCTCATTACATCTGTTTTAAGTTGTTGGTTAGCTGGAAATGAGCTTCATAATGTTTGCCATTTTCCTGGAGTTTGACGTTCCATATCGGATCCATTTCCAGGCAGTTATGAAAATACATTGAGTGACCATTGCAGGAAGTCTGGGAATTCATCTTAACTGCTTCTGGTTTAATCTTTTCAACATTGCCATCAGTGACAGGCTTAAGTAGCTTGACCACCAATTTTTAAACATGGTTTTCACACCTGGTGAGTTTGAAATGAACCAATATATTAAATTCTCCCAACTTTTTCCACCCGTGTTTGCCACTCTTGACTGATTTCTGGTGAGCTGGCATTTTCCTTTAGAACCGTGTGAAATGTGGGATAAATTTTTGGGAATTTTAGTCAGCTTCAAGTCTTGCTTCTTCCAAAACCTGTGTGGTCATGAACGGTCAATTCAAGACTTCTTATGTATATATTTTCAATTAGAAAAATAGCAGTGGTTGCTTAGGCAGAGTCATACCAATATACCTCCCTACAATGCCTTTCTAACTCCATCCTTAGCTATGGGACAGATGTGTTTTTGCAGGTGTAAATTGTTTTTTGGCCTTTGCAGATCAGTGGGGAGGCTCAGGAGCTGTTCTCGGTGCGCCACGGGCCGGTTCGAGCCGCTCGGATCCTGCCAGCTCCTCAGATCAGTGAGTACACCCCAAACATTCAGCACCCACACAGCTCTGCAAGGCTGCTGCTCCTCTCCAGTTAAACTAACAAGACAACAGGATTTGTGTTTTGGAGTGGCTCTGGCTTCTGATTATTTTACATTAACTTTACTCACTTTGGCCCTTTCAGTGGTTTATATTTTATCATCCTCGAGTGCAGCTCCTCTCTGCCTCTGCTTAAACACCATTTAATCAAGTCCTAAACCAAGCTGCTTAATTTAACAGGATTCTTCCAGAAGTTGAGTTAACCCTGAGAGGAACTTGCTGCAAAATCTGAGCAACTGTGCACGAACAAGCAAATTCCTTTAAAAAAATGACCCTGTTCAATCCAAACCCAATCTAATTGTTGGCTTCTGAAAGAACTGTTTGGGTCTAAATTAAATTGGTTGTTTTACTTTGTGGATGAAAAGAATTTGACCAAGGAGTTTGGGGACTATGCTGGGTTAGAATTTCTAGTAATATTTTATGAATTAATTAATAAACTCAAAAAATACAGCCTAAAACCTTAATATTTAAATTATTCATAGTAAATTGTACTGATTTTGTGTGTTTCAAAGAAAGTAAATGAAGAATGTTTAATGGACATACTATATTTTTTTTTGGTGATTTCCTAAGTAGAGGAATATGTGGCTGTGTAACTATGACAGGTTAAACTAACTTAGAGTGAAATACTTCCCAAGCCTTTATCCCATTTATTGGAACCCTGCATAATTCCCAAAGAGATTCTCTCTTGCTGTTATGTGTGTCATTGAGTGGTGGATGTCTGTGCCCTTCCTCTCTAGAAGGAAAAAAACAAAGGAGAAAGAAGTGGAAATGAAATGAAATGAAAATGAAGTAAATTAATTGAAGAACCTGGGAGTTCTGTTTTTTCTGGTATTAAAGCAGGTTTTTGATTTTTCGATCAAGTAAATCACACTCATGAACTCCTTCAAGCAATTATTGTCTTTCTGCCCCTAAATTCCATATATTTAGCATCTGACAATGATAGTTGTTACATTAGAAAACTATTCAAATTAGCTCATATTAAATTAAACCAAACCTTTTAAAAACATGTTTTGGTCTCTTTTTACATGGCTTAGTTTAAATAAATCTTTGATTAAAAGTACATGAATGTATCATTGACCAGTATCTGGAATCAGATAAAAGTAAAGCTGTAATAAGAGGCCTTAGATAACTAACTCATGAGCTTTAATGATTCTGAACGAAATAAAAGGAATTTGTAAAGGAGAAGCTGATTACCATCAGCAGGCTCAAACACTGTTTTACTGTAAAGCTGTAAAAAGGGAATTATTGAAAATAGGAGTCTCCTGGTGGATGGATTTGGCACGTTCCTAGAAACAGATCTGAGCTGGTGATAAGCAGCTCATTCCCAGGTGTGAAAGGAAAGCTCATGGCTTTAACTTGGTGACTTTACAGCAGCAGAACTTAATAGTTTGTCAACTATTTCATTAAAAAACTGCAGCCCTTTGATGTTAGATCCTCTGCCTCGTGGTGTGCCTCGTGGCATAATGAAGCCTTGTTTCAGAGGCATTATTTCATGCAGGGGATCTCCTCCAGCAGGTCCTGGGCAGCTCTGTTAGCTCCTGGAGCTGCTGGGACTGGCATCTGTGCTCTGCTCTGAGCCACCAGCCTGGGCTGGCTCAGCATCACTTTGGTGTCCTGCTCTGCAGCCTGGAGGAGATGGCCATGAGAAATGGAGGGGTTTCTGTAAATAATGCTAAACCTTCCAGATCTCAACCCCTCTCCTTGGTCAGGTCACACCTACCAGGGCCTTCAGTAGGCAGGGCTGTAATTATTCTGTGCAGTTTAATTATTCTGTGCAGTTTAATTATTCCGTGCAGTTTGCAATGTACATTTTTGGAGACTGAGGCTTTGCACTGTGACCAGATTTTGGGCTTGCAGAGCTCATATTTAGACTATGAGAACATCTCAGTCTGGACTCTGGCAGTCTTAGGGACAGGAATTCTGAGCTGTAATACCTCTGAGCCATCCTTGGCTCTTCTCCACTTCCACATCTGGGGGCTGGGCTGGGGTTAGGGTTGTTTCCATGTGTCCAGGTCTGGATTTTCTGTCAGTGCTGAGGCAGTGATACATTTATTTCAGTTACCTTTGTTGTTCTTTCACCTACAAAATCAGAATACTGATGCTTTCTGAAGGAAGTCAGTGCTAGAATCTCCCATTTTTTATTACTTATCCCAGGTCATTTTACAAACCCCTGGCCAAATACCTGCTTTGCCTTGTGCTGTCCCATTTGTCAAGGTAGAGCTGCATAGTTTAAAAATCAATCAAGAGCCTGAGAAAGCCAGGGAGCAGCTCTGTGTGTGGCAGTTCCTCTCAAAGGGGTGACAGGCTGGTGTGGTGAACTTTAGATCAGTGGGTGTCTGTAAAACCTATTTCCATGTTTCAGCATTATGAAAATAAATTCCTCCAGCGAGCTGAATTAATTTATTGCCATTTTCTAGATTATGCTGCTTGCAGAGAGATGATATAATAGCCCTACATCTCTCAGTGAATTTGACTGTTCACTCAAATTGACTTATAAGTGGGGAAAAAAGCAAATAAAAAAAGGAAATAGAAGGAATGTGGAGGTACTAAAACCCATTGAGAGTTGAAATATTGCAGCAGATTTATCCCTGTTCTCCACTGCTCCCATCTTTGATGTTGGTAAAATTAAGATTTGAACCTCAAAAGCTGACTCAGGTTTATGTGCAGGTACACTTAAAGAGCTCTAATATTTAGGTTGCTTTCTAAAGGAAGGCAGATGTGAGGTTTGTGTATGTTCAGCCACTTGGGTGGTTCAGTGGTTTGAAATCCCCAAAAGGCCAAAATAATCCCAGGTTCTGTGTGGTGGAGGGGCTGGCCCTGCTGGATGGACAAGCAAGGTTTGGGGTGGTTGTGCAGGTGTGTGTCTGAGTTCTGCTGTTCTCCCACTGTTCCCTGGGGTTTTTGGGATAATGAATGGGAATGTCTGTGGATTATGGAAATTACAGACTGGAATTATCCAAGTAAATCTCTTTTAGAGAGATTACAGGGGAGAATTTTGGGGTGCAACACTGTAAAATCCCAATTTCTTCGAAGCTTTGGCCTGACCTGTGTTTCCTCATCACGTCATAAATGAAATAAAAGAATTATTTAATTGTTCTCTGGTGCTTTAGACCAGTGCACCTGAAACTTTCACCCAGCTGGGCTGAGAGGGAATTCCAGCCTGGGGCATTCCCAGGTGCTGCTGGGCTGCTGCAGGACCAGAAATGCCACAAGATTTCCAAGGAAAAGATGGAAAGGAGAGGGGTTTAGTGGAGCAGGAGCAGCACTCATTATTAAATGGGACTGATCAGTGGAATTACACACCAGGAAAATCCACCCCATGGTGCCTCTGCCCGCTGCTAAATAGGTCAGAGTGTGAAATTCATGCAGCACTTTTCTCCTGATGGCAAACCAGGGGCATTTCCAGAGTTCTGAGCAGCCTTTGAGTTCCTGTGACACCCACTGGCTTTCATTTTTATCCTGCACAAGGATGTGCTGGTTTTGGTGGTGTTCTCACTCTTTTTATTGGCATTATTGAGGGGCCTTAGCAGGCCCTGAGGTCCCAGTTCACAGTTTCATCAGCAGGACAGGGTCTAAGCTGCTTTGAGCTTAGTGTGGGTAACCTTTTGACTTCATAAACTTCTAAATGTTGATTTGTATGAAATTTCATTTAGCCACAGAGAGATTTTTTTTTGGTCCCTTTTTTTTTATTTTTTCAATTTTAAGCACACTAACTGAAGTGAGGTTTTTAAAAAACCAAACCTATCATTTAGCTAAATGGAGCTGTAGATAAGGTGGTGCCTTGTTGGCAGGAAGGGCAGTTTTCATTACTTTAATTGTGTGATTTGTCAGGATTTCCAGCATTTTATAAATGCTGTAGTGTTATATGACAGAGTTAAAAGGATTTAGAATGAAAGGAGTTTAAGAAAAAGACTTTGCAACAGGATTTCAATACTTTTTGTATTTGGGGGGATTTAGGGAGCTGTTTTTCATTTCAATTTTGTTAAACACTGTGTGTGCAGCAGGTGTGTGCAACGTCAGCGCCTCGCACATGCAAATAAACACAATTTTACAAATGAAAATTAATCCAGCAGAACTTGGGGGATTAAATGCCACCCCAGACCTGGGAGAGGCTCCTGCCTCCATTAGAGCCCAACACATGTCACTGTGCAATCTCATGGATGGGACAGCTATTAACCTGATTTAATGCCCTCAGAGGCCTCCCAGTAATGATCCTTTCCTGCACTATTAATATTTACATTCTGAAAGTATTGGAGTAGAAAATGGATTTTTTAAAATTGAGGGACTCGAGTCATTATAGACAGAAATCAGAAGTTTAAGCACCTATTGCAGAAATTTTGCAAATCTGTGCTGTGGGTATTAAATCTGGCATTGCTTTTGATTTGGGGGCACTTGATTCCCTGGACTCCCCCCCATCTTTTTCCTCCTTCTTTCCCCTTCCTGGTCATTAAACTAGACCATAAATAAACATCTGAATTTGTGTCTCTAATATATATCAATATATATATAAAATAATCAATATATATTATATATAATAATATATATTTGCGATCTAATATATATCAACATATATAATATATTGTGTATCTAATACAGTGAGAAAGAAGGAAAAAAAGTAGAGTTAAATACTTCAGGTAAAATCCTGGCTGCACTTAAATCAGTGTCAGAAGTGCTGGTAGTCAGCATTTCACCCTCCGTGCTGGGAGCAGAGCAAATGGAATTCATCTGTTACCTGCACTGAAGGAAACAAATTGGTTGCCAGACTCTTAAGGAGACTTTTATGTTTCATTTATCAATTTACAGGTCAGTACATACAGTACAGGTTTGACTCACCAAAGAGCTTGAAATAATAGGAATAAAAGGAAAATACATCTGGCTGGTTTAGGTTATTTGTAAAGCTATTGTTGATGGTGGAGTTATTGATGTGATCCATTTGACTTTATAAATACCCAAAGGTGTAGGAGGGAAGATTTTTCCTTGTACAGCTGAGAGGACTCAACAGTGTTTGTTACAAATTAATGCATGTACCTGAGTCATTAATAATTAACAACCTGCTATGTCAAAACATATATTGTTAATTGTGCCTTTCTGAGTAAATAATTTAGTTTTGTACAGCACTATTCAAGATTTAAATTTTGAGCAGACTATATCACGAATATTCTTTAGAGATCAAAGGGTTTGGTGTATAATGGAGAAAAGAAAATCCATTATTCACCACACATGTGCAGACCTATAGACAGATAATTAAAAAGGCAAAGGTTGAAAGAAAATGGAGGAAAGTTAGTAGTGGTGGTATTGGTTGTTACTTTGTTATTTAAGTTGGGTTGAAACATACCCTGGAATTCAGGGTATTAAACATTGTTCACAAGCAGAAGTGAGATTTTTCTTTTTTTTTTTAAACTCAATTTTAGTTTTATTTCTGTTTACAGCAGTAAAGCAAAGTTCTCCAAACTCTTAAAACCCCATTTTAAGAAGTGTGGCGTCTTTAACAGTCTGCCTGTGCTGGGGTGGAGGTGTGACTGAGCCTGGGGGCACAGCAGGGCTGGCTCCCAGTGCCAGGGCTGGTGTCCCTGGTGTGGGACAGCTGGCCCAGCCTGGCACAGAGCAGCTCTGCTGGGCTGTCAGCACCCCCAGGAGGGGATGGGATGTGCTCTAGGACTTGTGCTTCCACTTGGAGGTTGTTTTTTTGAAGGTTTCCATCTCCTGGTGGTGGAACAGCTTGATGTGGTTTGGATTTCATCTCCTGTTTTCTTGGGCACGGGGCAGGGGCTGCAGAGGCTGCTCTGAGGTTGGCACTCCTGGGTTCCATTTCTACAAACTGGAAACCAAGGTGTGAACCCAGGCAGAGCTGCAGAGAACTTCCTAAAAAACAATGAAAAGTGAGCAAGAGCCGCTTGTTCCAGTCACAGAATCCCAACCCTTGTGGGATGAACAGAAAATCACTGCCAAAGCCTGGCCACCTTTTGCTGCTTGTCTTCTTCTCATTTTCATCTCTCACACAGCTCTGCCTGTAATTTGAATTTCTGTCCCTTATCTTGCTCAAGCTGGCAGTTTTGTGTTATATTCAGTGTATTGGGCCCCAACCTGAACTCGGAAGCTGTACAAACAGCACATAGTGATTTGCTTTTTCTTTTCTTTTGTTTTCTCTCTTGTCAGGTGCTCAGAAATGTGATAGTTTTGCTGAGAAGAGGCCTCTGCTTGGCGTGTGCAAAAGCATTGGGTCTTCTGGGTAAGAATGTTTTCTGTGCATAAAAGGAATATATAAATTGCATTGCCATCTGAAGAGCCCAGCAGATGACATCTTTAAACTTTGTTCCTTTTTTCTTCATGGGATAACACTGGGATGTGATTTTAAACTATTTTTTTTGGTGTGTCAACATATATTTTCCTATGACTTAAGCTTTTGGAAAGGGATAAAAAAGAGACTCTTGATATAAAATAAATAAAGAGGTATTTAAGGTTTATTTTATTCTCAGTGGAATCACAACTTTATGATTAACCTTTTCTGATATTAATCCGGGTCAGAATTATTATTGTGAAGTGTTTTAAGCAATCTCTGTGTCTTAAAAAGTAATTTTTCAAGCAGCAAATGAATTACAAATACCAAGCATTTCATTGTTGCAGCCACACACTCTTTATTAGCAAAATACATGCTAAACCTCCTTCCTTGAGTTACAAAAATCAGTTTGCAGTCTTGTTTTATGCTCTCTCCAGAATTGTTGTATCACTGCTCTTATAAAAGAGGCCCTTGAGATATTTTATGCTTTATTCAGACAATGCACAGGATTTATATCTCTACCTACAGGAAAATATTTGCTTTTCAGGAGTAATCCTCTACACAGCCATTTAATAGCAGAGCAGTTGAAGTAAATCTTCTTACAGTTGTAAGACTAATTCTGTGCCACACCTTTTTCAATTAAGAATTTAATCACTGTGTGTGTGAAGGAAGAACTGTCAAATCTTTACCTTTCTCTGGTATTACTGTGTGAAATTGTAATATTAATGTTACCTGCCTCAAATGTTTGAATTAAAATCCACATAGGGCAGAGAAGTGATTCTCTTTTTCTTTATGTATTTACAACTTGCAAAAACTGGTTGATGGTGATTTTTCTTATTTTCTTCCCTGCTCTTTATTTATAAATTAGAGGTGCAAATGCTGCTCTGTCTTTATCCAAACAATGTATTTATATATGTAAAGGATATGTTGGTTTAGTAAAAATCTTTCACAATCTTGTTTTAGAAGCTGAGGTACCGGAGAAGTGAACAAACCCTGAAGATAATTATTTTCATTGTGTTATTGTATTCCTGTTAATGGAAAATAATTCAAAGGTTCTGGGCACTTTCTGCTATCCTCAAAAAAGAAAAGCCCCTCATGTGTTTTCAACACCATAATATTGTCATTTCCAAATAATTCTATGTTGTTACCATTATTAATTAACTCCCAGGTGAATTTCCTGATAATAGATTTTGTTTTCTATTCTTGTATGTGATCATTTCATACTCATCAACAAGATGGAACTTTTGCCTTATATCTGATTTTCTGGTGCACACATTTTTGTATTTTAAAAGTCACATTTTTCCAGCTAGTAAAATCACTGAAATGTTTCACAGGGGGGTTGGACTGCATGATTTTTAAGGGTCCCTTTCCAATCCAAACCAGTCTGTGATTCACTGTATAATCTTCTCAAAACAATTGTTTTCACAGCCCCCCAAAAGATGCAGTCCTGACACAGGAATGGGAAACAGATTGTGGTTTTTGGCTGGTATTTCTCTGCTGGTTTAGAGGCTGGTTCAGTCAACTTCAGTCTTAGATTACAAGATTTGCAAATTAAAAGGAAAACCAAAAAAGAAAGAATATCTGACTAAATATTGGGGTTGTGGAGGGTTGTAAAGACATGCCTGCTTGTTCCTGGTGATAAGACAAACAAATCTTTATAGACACACAAAATTAATTGATGGGTTTGGTGCATATTAATGCATTTCCTAGGTGGTGAAACATTAAGATATCCCTACCTTCCCCACATGGGTTATTGAAGCCATAGTTTGGAACAGACTGGATCTGTAAAAACACTTTCAAATACACCAGAGGGGTCCAAAATACATTACTTTCATTCTGCTCAAATGTAAATGTTAAATAAATACTTCAGTTTCACTAGCGGAGAAGTTTAAAGAGAAACTGACCAGGATAATTTTGTTTTAATTCAGATTATTAAAAAAACCAGTTGAGAATAAATGGAGACATTGCAAATTTGCCCTTCAGTAGATAATACAGGTAACAAGAAAGCTGAAAATAATGAAAATGACCATTCCAGGAGGGAAATAAAAGCACATGGAGGAGCAGGGACAGGGAGAAGGGGGCAGGGAAGCCAGAGCCCTTGTGCTGTCACTACATGCTCTTCAATCCTTTCTCCAGGTACTGGATCTCTGAGCCATCCTTACAAAAAGCATCTGATATTTTTGTGTCCTGTGTCCAAAGAGCCAAATCATTTTGCTAAAAGATTAGCAGATTATGCCAGAATCTTGCATGGGCAAGTATGATAATCAGCTAATGCAGGTTTAACTAATTAAACAATCAGTGATAGATGATTAAAAAATAAGAGTTTGAGGCCTTTGGGGAGTGTGCAGCAGCTCAGGCAGTGGCCTCTTCAGCAGCCTCTAGTCTGTGCTGGCTTTCCTGCTTATATTTTTAGAAAGATGAATTAATTTGATGGTATCAAGTGGTGGAAAATTTTGGATGACTTGAAGAATTGGATGGAGGTCATTCAAGGGCATGAGAAGCAAGAGGTAATCTTCATTAATCATGGGAGGAGAGAGGAAATTAGGGTAAATTAAAGAAGGAGGAGTAGTTGGAGCAAACAAAATGTGTAACTTTGGCTAGCCAGCATTTTTTTTTTCCCCTGCTGATCTGTTTACAAGGCAAATCAATTGACAGCAGATTTTCAGGAAGCGTGTGCTTTATTCTCATAAATAAAGCTACTGTGGATTAAATCCTGCTAACCTTAACCCAGCTTCAGCTCAGGAATGTGTTTATGGGAGTGCTCAGGTTTAGGAAGCAGCTTCCCATGAGTAACAGCACAATTAAAGCGTTAATATTTTCTCAATTAATATTTCAGAGTCATGTGAGCCTGCTCAGGGTCTGGCAGATCATGGGTAGTGCTAAAATCCAGTGTCCACTCCAAGTGTCTGTAGCTTTTAATGCTTCAGATGAGCTGGCTGGGAAATGATTTGTCAGACACAAACAGCAAAGCTCCTGCAAGGATCACCCAAGAGGAGGAAATGAGCTCTGGTGAATGAAGATTTTGTTCCCAGACACTGCTCAGGGGAACTCTTCCTGAAATGCCCTGAAATTTCAGAAATTTCCTCTGTTTTTTCTTGGTGGTGATGGTGAGGGCTCACCTGGCTCAGCCCTGCTGTGGGCTGTGCAAAGGGTGTGGTCACTGCAGATAGAAAATGCAGTTTGTTTTCTGAAATCACACAGAAAAATGGTCTGGGCCAGGTGGTTGTGATTTTCAGTTGTATTGGGCACTGTGAAATAGATTTCATGAAGTTTGTGAAGTATTTGTGGGCTTTTATTGAAGACTGTGCAAAACTCGGATTTTGTAAAGACTCTCAAGCCTAGAAATCAAATTTTATTTCATTATTGTATTCTAAAAAGTACAGTAGGACCTCTAAAGTTGGGCAAAACTCTCTCATTTCTGTTACCTTTGGGGATTTGAGTCCCAGAGGTTCTTGTGCTGCTGCATAACTGCAAAGCCTCATTAACTGCAGAGCTGTGTGGTGTCAGCTGCCTTGCAAAGACTTCCTTCCCTTCCAGCAGATGAAAAACATTTTCCTATTGATTTCTTTTGGGAAAATTCAGTTTAGCCTTAGCAGGTTGTGTGGTAGCTTTTAAGATCCTGAGAGAGTTTAAAGTAGTTTAAATTCCTTTTAGTGATGCTGGATGGGGTTGTTATGTACTAAAGACAGAATCTCCATCTTAAAAAGAGCCCTTCATTTTTTCTTATAAGTTGATTCTGTGATTATAAAAATATACTTTTTTGTAGTGTTGAAGTGGTGTTTGCTGGAAATTCTTTGAATTTTCTCATGGATTCCAATGCCAGGAGATGGAGCTTTAATGGAATAAGGTGGTGTTACCCTGTGTAAATACCAAGGGCAGGAAAGCTCTGGAGTTCCTCTGATGCTCCAAATGTTTGTCTCAGTGAACCTGAGTAAGAAATAACCTTTGAACTATAATAAACTGTTAATCTTGGATCAAAACTGGGAGAAAATGAGTATTTGGGGTCAAATCTTGACCAGCTGGTGAGAACCATGGGTAGTTTTGACCTTCTAAAGCTTTGATTTATGAAGCTGTAAAAAGATAAACCTTTTCCAAGGCATCCTCAGGATGCAGTGGAGGTTTGGGACAGCAGATTTCTGAGTGAGGCACAGTTTTGTTTTATTGCTGTTCCAACCCCTTTGTGTGTAGTGATGCAGGGAGGGGATGAAGGGATGGGAAGGATGGAGGCAAGGAAGTCCAGCTAAAACCAGCTGGAGCACAAAGCTGCCCCCAGTAACTTGTCAAAAGAAACACCACAGGGAAAAGATAATGCACAGCACCATTACAGGCAGGGCTGCCACTTCCAGGGCCACTTTAAATTCCACTTTAAATTATTAAATACTGTAAACGCTATAAAGTTAATTAGAAGAGGAACAAACTCTACAAAGATAAATGTGTTTTCAATATGTTTCTCAGGGAGGGTACAGTAGAAACCAGTGAATGAGAGGAAATTTATTTCTGGCAGCACTCTAGACATGGAACTGTGGTTGAACTTTTTACCCTAATTACGTCCCCACTAATGCCTGCAGCGGTCTGGAATCAAAGTGGCCCTTCAGGCCCTGGAAAGTCTCTGATGTGGCGAGCGTTTGTTGTGTGCTGAGGGTTACTTCAGAAAAAACGGAATATTGTGACAGGATTTTTCAAAATTTCTCAGTTACCACCCACCTCACTTGTTGCCTACAAAAATAGAGTAATTGTTTGCATCTGTGTGTTTTTGTCTGTCTTAGAAATAACTGTTATAAATCAATGTGACAGAGCCGGCGAGCAGTTGGGGATTATATTTTCTTTTCTTATATGTTTTAGGGTTATTCCTGTGTTCTGTAGTGTAGGAAGGATTTAAAGGACATTGCAAGGCAGAAATTTCAGGATGATTGAAGTTGTTCTCTTTTCTTGAGGACACTTCAAGCTGTCAG